GGCTGGCACATCTGGCAGCAAGTTATTTTCTTGGCTAATCACGTCCAATTTCTCTTGTTTCAGAAAAGCTGTGCCAAGGTGATGGAGAAAGAACATGGCACCCAGTCCAGCTGCTCCCTGGAGTAGGCCATGGACAGGCTGAGGGTTTTCAGAAGGAAGCTCTCAGACTGGAAAATGACAGCCAGAAAACACAGACCACAGTGGATGAGAACTAGGAGGTGAAAAAAAGCAAATAAGCTGACTGGGTTTCCCTGCTCTGATGGCGCACATTTTATCCTCATTCTTGGGCACTGTGATGAAAAGTGACTATCTTGCACTATTTGCAGTTTTTCCTGTCCTGTCCACAAGGTCACACTACACAGTGTGTTTATTTGACTTCTGTAAGGTCAAAGAAGAACATTTGGGTAGCACAGGAAGGTTACTATGGACTTTCACCTTCACAATCTAAAACCAAGTATTAAACAGTCGCAACAAACAATATTTACTATTGTTTAAACACATAAGAGAGGGCTTTTGGAGGAGAGGTGGCATTCATTGTCACTGTGCATCCTTCTTAACAGCTTTTTAAAATTTATGTATTTATTAAAGGAAAGAGGAAAAAGAAGAAACCATTAAAATCTGGCCATTACGATGTTCCCAGAACACTTCGCCCTGAGCTCCCAGTGCCTGAGAAGCCAGGCACGTGCAGGGAGCTACTCATGTTGATCTGTGCTGAAGAATTCCAATCGTTACTAGAATCTCTATTTTTTACTATGATTTTTATAGACCACTTACCCGGGGCTACTACACCACTGGGCTACTTTAAATAGCCAGCTGTAAGCAAGTCATGTGCAATGCTGTCTTTTCCATGGGAGCCAAAAAACCCACTGGCATGGCTTATCAGCACAGTTTATCTGGAAGCCTCAGCGTGCTGGAACGCCGTGTACTACACACCCTGTGCCACGGGTTGTAAAAGCAGGCCAGCAAGCTCACAAAGCATCTGAAAGGTGATCTTGTCCTACTCTCCCCATTCCTGAACTCCAAGGTCTATTTGGTGACCTTCCTCTGTTTGCACTGACCATGGGGTCAGAAATGGACTGGGAGCCTGACATTGGCCCACAGATAGGTCACACTCTTCCACTAGGAACAACTGCAAAGCCAAGTGGAGAACAAGCAGCAAAAATCCACCTGAGGCACCTCTGAAGGTCAGAGCGTGCTGGGTAAGAAGGACACGAGCTGATGCTGAAGTTCCACCAACACTGCCTCTGGAGAAACTGGCACTGACTTTGACCCCACAATGACACACTGCAGAGCCCAACTGCCTCAGGACCAAGCCCCTTTCTGACACAGGGAGGGAAGAAAAGATGTGACAAAATGCATGGATGTCACTAGTGACATCATCAGGCTGTCTTTCAAGCCACAGACCTCACAAGTTGGTTTCCATGGATCACTGCTAAGATTCATGGAAGATGAGTAATTAGAGATAGCTTACTGATGGCAAGCTTTGAGTTACGTTATGTTGAAAGTGGTGACAACACTACCCTAGATGACGAGTTGCAAACAGTTTCTCTAAGCTTTGTAATGCCTTGGGTGGGGGTAGCATCCCACCTAAATACCAAGATAGCTTCATTTCTTCCTCATTTACCTCTGATTAAATTCCAAGTTGCCTCCCTATGTAATTGTCTCTAAAACAAAGAGTACAATAACAAATCCCAAATCTCCCCAGACACCATTACAGGAAGAGTTAATCAAATGTTGAACACCCTCAGACTGTATCAAAATTGTGCAAGTGGAAACAAGAAGCAGAAGAGCATCGTATGAGCTTTAAGGATAGTTCTTGGCAGAAAATGGCAGCTGGGATTCCTTACCTAACTACAATGAACCTGGTAGAAATCTACTTGTTGTAGAGGAGGGAAGTGCAGGTCTGTGACAGGCTATTGGAATCACCTCTGAGTTCCTGAAAAGCCAGAGAAAAATTGGCCCCCGGCACACAGGATGGAGCTGCTCTCACCCTGAGCAGCCCTGCCAAGGACAGAGAGATGCTGTGAGCATTCATCGAGGTCACAGCACGGTTACCCAGCTGTGCTGCACGCCTGGCAGCTTTCAAAAATACCTGAATGTTTGGATGCAGTGTAAGGCATGGAGAGGAGTAAGCAGACAGACATTACCTGGTGCCAGGGAAATACAACTGAACAGAGAACTAAATGTGAAAAACACACCAATTCACACACTTCTGTTGCCTTCTTTTCTCTGTTTTATTCAGGCCATATCCCACTCTCACCTTTTTTCACAACTGCTCTTTTTTACTCGTCACTCTCTACACTTCCTTCCTTTTCTACAGAAAGTGGCTCCTAATCTGAATTCCAGACTTCACAGCTGTCCTTGGCTTCTCACTTTTTCACAGTATCCCCCTCCCTGTTAACCATTTTCTACAAGGACTCCCAAGATTCTCTGTTTCCCTCAGTTCTTGGTCCTTGCTTTTTGGCTCCAACACAAATGCACACACATTTTCTAAATTAAAAGGAATAGCCACTGCAAATACAACCAGTCATTTGACTTCATAACTCTTCGTGATTAAAATTAAATAAATAAATAAAATGCAACAGAAAAAGCATCTTTCCCCTTTTTCCTATTCTCCATTCCTTCCTTTATTTCTTCGGGGTCCTCAGCACTTGATCACAGAACCAAACTGAAAGTCAGTCCAAACAGGCCCAGCCCATTCTCCTTTAACCTCTTCAGCCACTGCTGCGTTTTTGCAGCAAACCACTCCTGTCACCTCTCAGGGCTCAGTTCTACACATCACTGCTAACTACCTCTGTCCCATTAACAGAACGCAGAGCCTTTTCTCACAGAGCTGCTCTCCCTACAGGGCTGATTGCCAAGATATTCAGAAATTCTCCACAGCCCGTTTTCATCCCACAGCTGCATCTCTCAAGCTGGGCAGCCGTGCAGTTTATCACACCAGATCCCCTCTGCTGCAACAATCTTCAGCTTGCCAGTGGGGTTTCTATGACCAAGACACGTGCAGAAAACCTTGAAAGCCTGAGCCAAGCAAATTGCATCAGTGCTCAGTGATGACAGTGTGCCAGTGCTAATTAATTCCCTGCCAATCAGTTTATCAGGAACACTCAGTTGTGTGCTCATCTTTCAGTTTCCTCCTGTGTCTCCAATGCCCCACTTTGCTTTCCTCCCCTGCTGACAGGTCAGAGTGGTCCCTTCTCTTCCCATAAGTAGCTTAAAAAGGTGACAACAGCTCTAGGAAACAATGTAATATAAGCCATAATTAAAACACAGTGGTAAAAAGAGTGAGAAAGCACAGTACTAGCATTAAGATGATTTAGATCCAGCCTGGAGCATCTTTGTTGTTGCTCAACATGGAAACGTTGAGCCAGTGTCTATCTGGAACAGCAGCTGGAACAGTGCAATGCTGGAAAGTTGTGTTCCTTCTCCTCCCTTTCTTAGGAAGGCTGGAGAAGTAAAACTGGATCCAAGAACTCCTTCTTTCACAGTCTGATAGTGATAGGACAAGGGGAAATGGCTTTAAACTAAAAGATGGGACATCTAGGTTAGATGTTAGGAAGAAATTCTTTACTTGAAGGGTGGCGAAGTGTTGGAACAGCTTGCCTGGAGAAGGTGCGGATGCCCCATCTCTGGGCACAGTCAAGACCAGGTTGGGTGGGATCCTGGGCTGGCTGATCTCGTGGCTGGCCATGTCACCCATGACAGGGGGGCTGAAACCAGATGATCTTCAGGTTTCCCTCCAGCCTAAGCCATTCTTCTCAGTTAGCATTGATCTGCCACCAGCGTTTTGGCAGCATGGTCCCTCCCATTGCCTTCCTTGTGCTCCCTCCAGCCAGCAGTCAGGCTCCTCCAGGAACTCAGAGCAGCGCAGAGCAGAACGACTCATGTGCCAGCCCTGACCATGCAGCAGAGGCAGCTGATTGGAAGAGGAAACGTGTTCTTTAAAGGAGAAGTCTTTTGCTGCTTCTCAGGATCTGGCTTCTGTGTAAAATGACACACAAAGAAACTCTTGCAATACGTACACAGTGAGGAATTCAGATTAGGGAAGTACAGATAAGTGGTGACAGCTCTGAACCAAGCTGGAAAAGCTGCAGATCCTCAAGCACATGCCATGAGATGAGAGCAACAGGCATGTACTAGGAGCTATGGGAAGAAATAAAACAAACCACCACCCCTGAGGAGCTGCTGAACTCTGCTTAAACTTTTTATTTGACGTAGATAATCTACATGATTTTAACACTTGACTTTTGAAGAGGGAGGGAAGTGAATGACTGCCAGAACTCCTATCAGAAAAGGGAGAATCTAGACTAACTGACCCTGAATAGAAAAAAGAAACTAGAGTATTTTAAAGTGGTGAATTTAACTCAAAAATATCAAAACTCAGAAGAGCCAAAAGCTCTCCTTTTACATCCTTACTACTGTCATGCCTCTTAGATCTATTTTCAGTACTTCTCATTCACATCACGTGGGTATATAAAACGGTGGCAACAAACTTTAATAATCCTAAATCTCAGAGGTGTTGAGATCTGCTGTGAGCCCACAGCTCCACGTCCGAGCAGAAGCAGTGCTTGGTGCAGAGCTGGGAACGCTCCTCTACGGGCTGCTTCCTGCTGCCAACCTGAAGAACAGTGATCAAGGATTACAACTCATCTGACTGAGACAAACTTGCATTTGATTTACTGAGTGAAGCTTTCCAACGCTTCTCATCACATTCCTTTCATCTCCTCCTGGCTTGTGCACAGCCAAATGCTGCTGAACTTGAGAGGCCTTTGTCATCCTATGCAGAAGATGGGAAGCAGCACCCTAAGGTTTTGCACAGAACACAGTGGTGCTGAGCAGGGTCACTGCACAGGGGGCAAATATTGCCTGACCCAACCTGGACGGCTAGGAAAGATGAATAAAGCAGGAAAATACGGGGCAGTTTACTAAAGGTTTAGTTCATGACTCAACAGTCTGAAGTTTGCCCAAGAAAGGCTGGCAACCTGAAACGGATGTAAAAATAGTGCCCCCCCCCTTTTTTTTTTTTAACAAAACCAGAGCCAATCAAAGCCATGTAACAAATCCACTGAACTTCAGGTTGTTGCTGTGTTGCGTTGCAACATTTTGAAACTTCCCAGAACAAGGCTTTTGTCTGCAGGACGGAGCCATTTGCGCAAGGCAGAGATATGTCCTGCTGCTGGGAGCAAGCTCTGTGCACACAGAGCTGCAGAGGTCAGTGCTCCTTGGCAGGCAGGAGCAATATGCTACACGTGTGTGCACACCCAGAGCAAAATGCATGCGCTTATTTATTAAATTGTACCACCAAACCCTTCAGCAAGAGAAAGCTGTGGTTGCAAACTTGTCAAAGCAAGGAAACAGAAAAAGTAGGCAGTGCAGCTCTTCAGGGAAGAGGGCATGAAGGATGAGGGCTCTACGGACTGGAATTTTCCTGGCTCTGATGATTTTACGGTGGAGACAGGTGAAGCGAAACCTGAGTAGGGTAACTTTAGCCAGAGAGAGTGATAGAAATAAACAATATTATTCCTGGAAAGAAGGGATAGTAGCTGTCCCCCTGCCAAAGTGCACTCCAGCCCAGAGCCTATTAGCAGCAGATTCCTTCCTGCGCTCCACCTCCCAGTGCCAGGGCAACGGTCCCAGGTTTTGACGTCAAAGCTGCCTTTTGTTTGTTGCACAGACCTTCCCTTTGCAGGCCGAGCAGACTGCAGCGCGGAAGCAGCGAGGCAGAGGGCTCTGCTGTGCCCAGAGCTGCTCTCACCACAAGCCTCCAAGGATAACTCTCTTCCCGCAGTACCAATTCCAACCCTTCCAGTGGAAAGAAAATAGAGTTCAATATGTCTAAACTGTTTTAATCCTGATTGCCCTTTCACTAACCTTTCTGTCAACTTGTACTGTTTTATCTTTTGTGGTTTTATCTTGCGTTATTTAGATAGCAAGATCTGCCAACCAAGGACTCTTTCCATACACATGAGACAAGACTGTAAATCTGCTTTGGAACCAACAGGTATATTTGGAGAAAATCCTCAGAGAGACAGTGAGAAAATCTCCCAGCACTCCAGGACAGGACTCAGATGCACATGATTTCAGAATACTGGGAAGAATGAGGCCTCTTGTTATTAGGAAATGTCCAAACTGGTGGCTTCCCCAGGTGAGCAGAGGGCTCACAATGCCTTGGGCACATACAACCATCCCTTGGCTTTCCCAGCCACGAGCTGCCCTGAGGCACAATGGCGCTGCCAGGGCAGGCTTTTCCTGCTAAAGAGGCTCTTAAGGATGCAGCTGGAACAGTTGCTGCAAGATTATGCCACCTCTAATATAAATTCAATACTCTATTCTGTCTCATAGCTTCTTTGTTTAAAGGCCGAAGAATTCAGGTAAATGAACAGAGGTCAAGAAGAAATGGAAAAATGTAGTCACATAATATGCAAAAGAAAAACAGGGCTGGTAATCAGCTGCCACGTGTTTCCGAGAGTAGATGCCAGCCTTCTCACATGCTCAGTGTTAAGATATGACCACTTTCACAATGCTTCTCTTTGACAGCAGCAAACCTGACACTAGCATAACTAATCCCCAGTGGTGCCCTCCTATTCCCCTGCTGCCCAGACTGCCAGGCCCACCTCCCTCTTTTCCAGCAGCCCAAGACCCCTCCACACACAGCTGGGCTGCAGGCTCTCCTTTTCTTCCCTTTTGAAAGCTTAAAGCTGGGGACTTTCCATATCTTCTCTGTTTGCAGGATTCTCAAACTAATGTTTAAACTCATGATTTTTGCATGAGTTTGCTGCTGGCTTTTTGTGTCCATATCCGAGTGCACAACAGGGCTGTTATCTGTCGGGTGAGGCACAGGGCCATCGCTGCTGGGATGCAGCATTCCTGGGCTATTAGTAGTAATGAGATGAGCAGCATATGCTTCTGCTGGTGGAAAAAAAAATGAAAAAAAGACCTTTCCATCATCTTTGCTGCCTGAAGGACAGACTTGGGGTCCTTAATTCCTAGTAAAGCATTAATTTGTGACGCAGAGAATGCAAGCTACCTGCACCCCAGCAGAGCCTGCTCACCCTATGCCACACAAAAAGCCACGCTTCGCAAAGAACCAGCCTGTCTCCAGCCCTGGGGACACCCCGTCCAAGCCCAGCCAACCCAATGCTGCATGGCAGAGCTGTGAAGGGAGGCTCACTGAGGCCCATGGAGTCATGCTCCCTCTGTCTTTCAGCCAGACTCTTAACACACATGCACAGAACCGTGTGTCATGTTTCAGCTCTTGGAAGCTCCTTGCAGTGCTTCCAGGAAGTCCCACTGAACACTAGGGAGAGGCCCGCTGCCTTCTGCTGTCCCTCTGGTGAGCAGGACGGGCGATCTGTTGAGTGCAGGCCCAGGGGTGATGCCTGGTGCTGTGCCAGGCCCTGCCAGCTGCTGGGCCAAGCTGGGCCCTGCATGCAGTACAACAGCAGGCTGGGCTGCAGCTCTCTGGCAGTGTGCCCCAGAAACAAGCACTGCCTGGGGAGTCACTGGGGAGATACATAGAACTTCATGTGGCCTCATGCAGAGACACTTTCTCTAACATAAAGGCTTGAAAGAATTGAGCCTTGGGGATGACTAGCAACGTGAAGTTCGGTCACGCAGCACTGTCTAAAATCAGGCTACAATGAAGAAAAACTACTTCCTGGTATTGAAGAGACAGCTATTCCAGTAACTCAGCAGGGCCCTCCTGCTCCAACCAGGTGAGCAGCACTGGGCTCACTAGAGTGTGCTGAACCCTGTGCCAGGTCTTGGGAATCAATAGGCTGAAGGGCTGTCAGGGTGGAGTGGCTGCAGGGGCTACTTTTGGCCCTTAGGCTGCTGAGTCTGGAGAAGGTATCCTTTCCAGGCTCTCCCCTGTCACTACAAGGGCTGGGAATCATCTTTTCTGAAAAAGGAAAGAAAATCATAGATTCTTATCTCATTGTGGGAGAGAATGATCAAGGCAGAGGCTCAAACAAAACACAGTACCCACAGGGAGGCAGAAACAGGTCTCAAGACCATAACAGCCACTGAAAGATCTGCCTTCACTGAAAGATCTGCCTTCAGATCTTCTGGCCGCAGGGCAGGAACTTTACTGTGCCTTCTTACGCTCTGCCAGCTCCCATCCCTGCCAGTTCCCATCCTGTGCTTGGACAGCACAGGAGCAGCCCATGCGTTAGCCAGGGGCCCCACTCGTATCACTTCATTTGTAGGCATGGGCAGGGGAGTATTTCTCACACCACACCAAATGGCCACATAGCCAAACAAAACTCTCATCCTCCTCAGCACTAAGCAGCTCCTCTGCGTCCAGCTGCTGTGACACATCACATTCATCCCGAAACAGGACAAGTGGCACGGAGCTCATGCAGCTCAGGGCCACAGGTGCCTTGACTGTTCCATCTCTGTCACACTTTTTTGCTTGAGATGTTGGTGTAGAGAAGTAAGGAAACAGAAGTCCTGGGAGGAAGTGAGTCAGGAAACCTGCAGCCATTGCAGGGGAAGTGTGACTCAGAGCACACGGTGCTCGCTGCTCCCCAACACCCTGGAGGAGGTGATAAGATTGTGCAATCCCCAAGATAGCTTGCTGCACATCCTAATTCTGCTGATCCTCCCAGGGGAGGGGTGCCTCTGCTGAGTACTGTACATTAGCTGATTTCTTAGAATGAAGTGTGACAGCTCCCTGTGAGCTCAGCGCGTGGGAGGGGGGATGCTGGGCTGCCTGCCCGAGCTGACAGAGCGAGGAGCTACAGAAGCACCGAGCTTATCGAGAGCGCAGCAAGGACCTGGCAGAAACCTCTTGTTTAGTCTATTTGTTCTTCTTCTGGAGAGAGTGGGGACCTCAGTGTTTGAAAACCACAGAGGAACCAGCTAAAAAGCAGAGAGGAGAAAATCTGAGAAGGAAAGGAGGGCAAAGGTGGTGGTAATAAGAGGAGAAGAGGCGGTGTGTGGTCAGGTGGGCTGGCCAGGGGCAGATGGAGGTAAACAACAGCAGGACAAAGAAGTCAGGTCAAGCAAGGGAAGCCTGAAAGAAGAGCAAAGCAGGGAGAGGGAGAATGGAGAAAGATCACAGGGAGAGTCACTTAGGACTGATGAGGACGGCACAGAAAAATCAAACAATGCAGGGCCTGAGAGAGCAGAGAAACATAAGCAGCACTGTGCTGAGGGAAAGACGCTGCCCTCCGTTCTGAGTTCTCAGCAGACACCAGAGCTGCAGTGTATACTGGGGCCTCCGTTCATTAGTATAAGGGCCACCACTGAAAAGCACCCGGAGCCCTATGGCAGGCAGATGGAACATGACAACATGGCCCTTTGTGAGGACCAGCTCCCTGTCAGGAACACAGGCCTAAGTAGAGGCAGCACACACAGTGCCTCCCACCAGTACCTGGGCAGAGCCCAGCGCTGCCTGTGTTCATACAGCACTTGGGGCAAAAGCACCTCAGGATACATCTGGAAATTTCTACTGCACAAAACGCACATGCCAGCTGGGCTTCCACGCTCCCTCCTGCTGCTCCCTGGAGACACAACCATGCCTACTACATTGCTCCTGCACACGTGCTGCAGCTGCTTATGATGAGTTGAAAAAGAGGCACTCACTGTTCCCAGATGGACAGGGCTGGCATGCACGTACACAGGAAGTATGCATGGGCCTTCAAAAAATCCCACTGCACAGTCAGGAAGAATCCTGGCCCAACTGCTCAGTGTCAAAAGCCACGAAGCCACCAGCAACAAGGCATGAATTAGGGAAACGCAGGCCTCTTTCTACAGAAAATGCACTCTTAAGAAGGGACTGCTTTGTTCTTCCCAGAAAAACTTCACGCTTGAACTCGAGGTGTTTGTCCATTTGAAGAATAACTAAACTGTATTTCAAGCACTGTTTCAGAGTCCTGTGTGTGCACAATACAGATACCACAGCACCTTTCAGCTCCAAATCTGCCACGCTGTTGGTTTGGGTTCCAAACCCCAAGTGACCACATCCATTTCTGACTTTTACCCCCAGCTGTGGTGCAGCAAAGGTGCCGGCTGAGACTCAGAAGCTCCAAAGTCTGTTTGCATTTCTGCCCTGATTGGCTGGCTATATTGGGGCAAACCACTGCACACCCCCAGGCTCCTGGTCTCTCTTTCCCCTGTGCCTGCCTCCATGGTATTGAATGCAAGGCTTCTAGGTGTGGGCTGCTGGACAGCATATGCCTGCAATGTTAAATGCACTCCAGACCGCAAAAAGCTAAATGGTTCTGTAATGGAAATAATAATGAGTACTTGAAGTTTTGTGGCTGGTATTTCTAGGACAAATGTCACAGCTCATGTGACCTAATGTCCTAGGGCCCCAAGCCTAGGAAGAAAAACTGCATGCTGAGGGGCAGGCAGCCTGATCCTGATGCTTCTACTAATAGCAGTAACATTTTTATCCCAAGTCAAGGAAAGTTCTTATTCCTCACCCATAAAAACTCAAGGCTGTTGGAAAACCAGTTAGCAGGAAGGCTTTGACAGATTTTGAGATGGCTGTCATAGGGTTAATGAGATCATATACTGCACCTCCTTATTTTGCTGCCATCAGTCTGTTCCTTAGAAATAGAACAATGATATTATATTCCTGTATGTGTTTATCTGTAAGGCTAGGGTACAAGGGCAGAAGCCTGGTATCACGCTTTGTAAGCATGAGTTAGTCACTCTGCCCGCTGCAAGCACTCTCCCATCTTATGGGCATGGTACAAGGCCAAGGCTGTGTCCAGCAGAGCTTTTGTTTAAACCATGTTCTGTGAGCCTGACTCAGCTGCTGACACCTCCTCACCACACAGGATGCCTGCACGCTTTTGCAGTGGCTCTGGTTTTCCCTTTGAACCTGTGCTAATAGCAAAACATTAGGTGGAAGAGTATTTTTCTAGTTACTGTTTTTCAAGATGCTGCTTGGCCTCGATCAATTCCAAGAACTGAGGCAGTCAAACAAAAACTTTTACAGGCTCGTCAGCAGCACGAACATCACTGCTCTGGCAACTTCCCACGCTGCAGCAAGAATTTGCACGAACCAAAATGAGACCACACGCAAGAGAAGGGCTGAGCAGAGAACTGCGAGTGGCAGCACCTTCAGCACTGCTGAACACAGCAGAGGTGGCAGGCAGCCTCTGGCACCACACGCTGTGCTTCTGCAGGAAACATGCTCGAGTCAGAGAACCTCCTTGCTGTTGTTCATCCAGGCAAGCAAGCAAGTTGTAGTGCTCACATGGAAGAGAAGGGAAGACAGGGAGGGCCATTGGCTCAGCTTCCTCCCAAGAGGGTACACTCCTGGACAGGCCTTGCACACTGCTGCCTCTTTGCTGCAGTCTGGAGTTGAGCAGCTGTGAACTCCTTCGGGGGCAGGATGGGGGCAAAGCATGGGCTTCAGCCAGATCCCAGTGCTCCAGCCCTTCTTCCTTCACCTCCTGTGCCCAGAGAATCAGTAATTTCCACAAACTATGGTTAGGCACAAAAACCATCTTATCAAGACAGCTCATTGTGTATAGCACCCAGCAGCAGCTACAAACAGAGAATTTGACATGCTCGGTTACCCAAGCCCCACTCATTCTCTCCTCCTTTGTGTGTACCTTGACAGATGCCTCTTCTGTCATTCACAATAGGTTTCATTTCTATCCTGGATGAATGTACTGAGGAGCTGAAATTTGGAAGCAGACCTCCTCCAAAATGGACTGCAAGTGTCCTCCAGCCTGACCAAAAGCAGCTTGATGACCCATGTCAAGTGGAAATTCAAGTCAATTTGAGGCATAGAGGGAAAGGAAGGGATTTCCTTCCTCTCTTGAATAGGGAAAGTCACATCACAGCAGAAAGACCTCTAGACTACTCTTTGGCTAACTGCATCCATGGAAATAGCAACAGAAATATCTATACCTGTTACATTCTGGTCACTTTAAGCTGCTTTCTGGGTTCCATCAGGACAACCACAGCCATCAGACTCATTAAATTTGGCACTGGAGCTATGGCTGAGACAGTCACAGCTGTGAAGTAACAGCTTTGAGTCAGCCTGAAGAAAGAAGCAAATGAGCCAGTGTGTTTTCAGTGACCAAGTAATAGTTGGTGTTCCCAGAGAGCAACTGCCTGGGAACCCCACAGTGTCACTGCATCCCACATTACATGAGGCACCAGAGAACAGTGCTCAGTTGCAATCACAAGCAAGAAGCCAATATAGCCAATTACAATTACAATTATTAACTGCAAGCTCCTCCTCCTATCCATAGAACAAACACAGACCCCATGTAAATGATTTCATTGAGTGGAAGGGATTTTGCCCTATGGCTCACAGAGTCTTCATGTGGCACTGGAAGCACACAGTGACAAACATTTTGTGCACCAGCACAATGTTGCAATTATCCTGTCATGGTATACTTTAATCAGCATGATTTTGGGGGAGCCTGTGGCTGGGAAGTTCCTGGAATATCAAAAGGCACCTCCCTCAGCCTGGGCAGGAGGCGGCCACCGGTGCAGTCAGTTGGCTGAAAAGCTGCTGCTGCTTCAGCTCTTCAAGGCAGGAATAAAGAACAGAAGGTGGTCCCAGCATAAATCTATTGAACCTGGGATACATGAAGGGTACGATGTCACATCACCTGCCAGATGGGCTTCCAAACACCTGGCTGCAATGAATGGAGGCAGCCTTTGTTCTCTTTCAAAAGATCACAGCTAAAGCTGGATTCTGGAGCAGTGAGGGTTAACTCAGGCAAGCAAACAAGGGTTGAAGATCAGCTCATCTTTTCCATTCAGACAGATCCTGCTACAGAAAATGCTGGTTTCTCGATGCTCGGTGTCTCAGCGACTTCCAGGAACAGTGAGCTAAACACAGCTACTCTTCCCAGCACCAGCTGAGGGGGCGGCAGGGGATGGAACACAGCCCTGTTCTTGGAAGGCAGGAAAAAATAAGGTTCTGGCAGAGCTGTGCAAGCTTGCCTCTCCCTCCTCCCCTCCCCAGTAGCCTCTTTCAGCATCTCTAATTCCTCAGGGTACAGCTGCGTTGGTTTTTCCTTTTATCAAATAAGTGTAACAGCAATGCATGAAAACTGCAGGCAATTTTCAAGCAGAGAGAGGTTAAGTAAATCAAATAAATAAATGATAAGCTCATCTTCACGAGCTCGGATGTGCCCCATGATTTTCTCAGTTTAGTGCATGACCTACTGTACTTCCTAACATTTTTGTTAGATAAACACAGAAAGCTACAGAACCATTCAGTCCACGGAAACTATTTTTGGCTACTTTATCTTCATGCAATATGAATTCCAAGGGCTGATTGGATACTTGGACCTCTCCCAGCCTGGCCGACTGTGAAGGGAGCAGACAGTCATCTCACTGCTATTCTTCCATGGAAACAAACATCTTTTGGAGATGACAAGTATCTGGCTTGTAGGTGCAGTGCTCTGAATGAGATTCAGGGAACTAGAGCAGCCACCAGCTGCGAGGAATGCAAGGATAGCCTCAAGGTACACACACAAAAATAGGAAAACAGGATTCAGTCAGAGCTGGCTTCGTGGTTCCCCACAAGCTGCTCTCCAAATAAAGACAGCAGCACTGAGTGGTGAACAGAGTTCGGAGAAAGCCTGCTTCAAATCTTGCAGTCAGCAGCTCAGCTGGATGAAATTTCACCATCTTTTATCCAGATGAAAAACCAGTGCAAGCCCACACGTGCTGTGGTGGTGGGCCCCAAGCTGGGTGCAGCTTGGCCAGCAGGCAGGGGATGGAAGGGCACATGGCAGCTCAGCCCTACTAGTGGTCTCCCCAGGCCAGGGCCATGGCTTGCTGCCACCAAGGCACTGCAGGAGAAGCTGTTCCCTGAGATATGCAGAGCTGTGCCACAGATAAGACTTGTCTCCAGCACAATCAGTCTCTCACCTATTACAAGTGTTACATGCACTTAAAATGCTGTGGCTTGCTATTTTCTTTTTGGTGCTTTTTTTTTTTTTCTTCCACCTGCTGAACAAAAAGAAAATGTAGTCCTGCATGATTACACAGCAGTCTGAAGTCCCCTGCAATGCCAAGGCTGCAGGCACATGCTTAGAAGACAAGCAGACTTCCTCATTATCTTCTGTGGATTTCAGAATTACAGAAAAAAAGCAAACACAACAGAAACAAACACAAGGAATAGCACAGAATGCAACACAGAGTCTGCAGCAAACCGTAAGCCCAGCTTTCAGGCTTCAAACCTCTTCCATGTGCTGATCTCTAGGTTCTCAGATACCAGCTATGAGACCAAAGCACTCTGCTGTCTCTCTGGGATTTCTAAACCTACCAGCACAACATGCCATTCATCTTTGGGGCCTTCAACTAGAAGCAAGAAGCCCAGAGTTGGGCACTGGGCTCATTTTTAGCAGTACAAAACTGCTACTCGGCCATAAATCAACGTAGATGTGCTGATTTACAATATGTGAGAAATTGGCTCATTAGCTCTAATTAAACAAAGGCCCAAGCCACATGATTTAAATGTGAACAAGGCTCTTGAACACCCTGTTCAGCCCAGGAACCGGGATTTGCTTGGTGCCTTCCTATATTTAGCATACAGTAATGTAACTGAAGCAACCAAATTAGACTCGCAAATAGACCGGTTTCTCAGTACTTAATCAAGGACCTTTTCCCAGAACTGCAGAGGGCTGAAATTAAAAGAAAGGAATGCGTGGTAATCAGCCCAGAAGGACAGAAGGAAACCACCATGAGTCTGAAGTCCAAACATGCACTCTGGCCAACTGAATGTATCGTTGTTTGAATTCAATGTGGCTGCAGAGCACGTCAGCCCAGGGATCACACACAGCACGCCATAGGGCACTGCCCAGGTATAAGGAATTACTGAGGAACTGCAGCTCTGGAGATCTGTAAGTCACTGCGGTGTACAAATGTCCCTGGCTCCCTTCCTTTGCGGATGGGGAAATGACAGGTCTGAGGTCACGGCCCTATTTCTGCCCATGATTTTGTGAGCAACAACAGGTACAGAAGGAAGTGACAGAAAGACAGATCCAGCATACAGACTGCAAAATGCATACGATGGGCAATGATCAGCGTGGCACCACCAAACAGCAAAGCAAGAAGAAGAGGCAGGAGCCCACAGCACCGCTCTCCTTCAAATTCACTACTGGTGGGTCTTACAAGAGAGATGAGTGGTCTCCATTTTCTGCCTTCTCCTTATCTTAGAATAACTGGAGTTGGAAGGGATCTTTAATGGCCACGTAGCCCAACTCCTTTGCAACAAACAGGGACACCAAAGCTGCAGTAGGTGTCAGAGTCTCATCCAGCCAGACCTTGAGTGTCTCCAGGGATGGGGCTTCTACCTCCCCATTGGCCAACCTGTGCCAGGACTTCACTCCCCTATTGTAAACAACTTTTCCCTTATATCCAAATCTAAATCTCTCCTCTTTAGCTTGAAGCCATTTCCCCTTGTCCTGTACAACAGACCCTGCTGAAGAGTTTGTCCCCTTCTTTCTTCCAGCCCCTTTGGATACCGACAGGCCGCTCTCAGCTCTCCCCGCAGCCTTCTCTTCTCCACCTGCACAGCCCCAGCTCTCAGCCTGTCCTCGTAGGGAGGTGCTCCATTCCTTGGGTCATTTTCATGGCCCTCCTCTGGACACACTCCAACAGGCTGACATCTGTCCTGCACTGAGGACTCTCCATCTGGCTGCAGCACCCCAGGTGAGGCCTCAGCGCACAGAGCAGAGAGGCAGGATCAGCTCCCTGCCCTGCTGGCCATGCTGCTTTGGATGCAACCCAGGGTAAGGTTGGCTTTCTGGGCCATGAAGGGACATTGCTGGCTCAATGTCCAGCTGCCATCCAACAGCACCTCCTAAGTCCTTCTCAGCTGGGCTGTGCTCCATTCTTTCATCCCCCAGCTTGTACTGATAGTGGGGATTGCTGTGATATAAAAAAAAACCTTCTTAAGCAATTTTAAAATCTATTTTTCACTGTAAGGATGAACATAAAATTTAAAAAAATGAGTTATCTGTCACCAGTTTTCACATTGCTATTAGGAAAATCCCCTTTCCTCATTCTAACCTAAGAACTGCCAGAGGAATACGACAAAGAAAATATTCTGTAGGCAGAAATAGACTTTTAAGAAGTGTTGTAATACTTAGAAGCTGCCAAAGCTTGCAGCTGATGGTGAATGAAAGCAAGGTTCGTTTCTACTTATTTCTACAATGTCAGCACCACAAACCTCACAGTGTCAGTCAGGACCCTGCACAGACACTGATGAAGTGCTAAGTTGGAGGAAGGCTGTCTAAAATTCATCTTGGAGCTGCACTTCCTAGCTTTGGCAATCTCTTGCAGAGGTCAGTTGTACATTCACACCTCCCCTGCTCAATCTCATGGCAAACAGACAACCAGCCTGTCATGCACAGAGCGGGGCCCTGGGAACATCCTCCTAATGGCTTTTGCCAAAGAAGTCTTCAGGTTGAGTTTACTTCCCACACCATCTCCTCTTGGCACATTTCTCCTGCATAATGTAAGATATGCACCAGAGCAGAATAGGCAAGGCAAAACTCTGAGCCCTGCACTGCTTCCACATGCTGCATTCTCATCCCTGGCTAGCATAGGCAGCAGCAGGTGAAGAGAGGACAGAGAAGGGGAAAAATAAAGGGAGAAATAGGATATGGGTAGCAGCTAACAGGAGCATAATGCAGGCGCTGTGACTGCGATTCACCCCGAGGACAGACAGCTGGGAGGGAAGGGACAGCTGGCTCCTCCTGCAGTGCTGTGCTCCCAATTAGTGATTACTCACTCCGAGCTCCTGGTATTTAGAATCGATTATACAAAGCCACATCAAGGAAAGTATGTCTTGTATGGTGCAGAACCTCCTCAGTGCACTTCTGCAAAACATTATGGCATAATAAAGCTGCCATTAATATTAATTACTCCATTTTGAATCCCATTTCTAATTCCATTTCCTCCAATAATGTAATAATGAATATTGCTTTCACATTGTTATTCAAGGTATCAGCTTGACAGCAGGAAAAAAACATACTGGGCTCAGTGTCTTATTCATAGCAAACAGTGACTAATAATAATGCTAATGGCAAAGAGCAAAGACTGCGGAAACCTCGAAGTCAGCCTAACAACCCAAGAGCCTCTCTGAGATTCACAGATAGGAGCATTTCCTAGAAATAAAATGAGAAGAAATCATTTATTTTTAAATTACGAAACACTCACTGGAGACATAAGTGCATTTGAAAAGTACACGTCAAATACAATTCAAGGAAACACACAAGTGGCTCCAATGTTTTAAGAAAAGCCAAGTTACCTTCCTATCAAGCCAATATTAACAAATGAAGTGGAATTACCCCTTCTGCTGCTGTGGTGAGTCCTCTCACCACAAGGGGCCGAGGAGGCAGGGCTGCCTTGAAGGCAGAGCGGAGTTGTGAGATGGAGCTGGTGGGGGAGCTGGGGGACACCCAGGACTGCAGATGGTAAGTATTTTCTGCCATGCCATTCAACGCTGCATCAGTATGAGAACTATCTGAATACCTCACCCTTGGCCTTGCCTTCTTCCCACCCCAAAGGCATGCTGCTCCTTCCAGCAGGCTTCTCCCTGCTGCAGATGCTCCAGCAGCAAGGAGCTCCAGGGCTGGGAAGCAAGAGCCAGCCCAGTGGTGCCCCAGTGGAGGCACAGCCAGCATGTAGTCTGTCCTCTGCTTTATCTTCTAAATCCTCTTTACTTGGAGGGGGTGCAAAGGTGGGGAAACTCCCTCGCCCACAGACCCACTGACTCTGGAGCACCCAAGCCCTACAGCTGAGTGCTGTCATGGTGAGTGCAGAGGCTCAGCGCCCAAAGCACCATTTTTAACAGCAGACTTAGTACTGTGCAGGCTCTGCATTCCCTTCCCTGCCAGGCACAAAGAGGATTCGCGCGAGCATTGTCATCAACATTCATAATGCTTCCCAAGGAAATTAATTCCTAAGTACACAGGAGTTCAAGGCACAAGTAAACAGAATACCCCAGCAAACCAATGTGCTGGCGCCTTCCCCAGGCAGTTAACCCAAAACCAGCACTCCTTTGAAGGATGGTGGCTTCAAATCTCAGCCAGCTCCCTTCCACCTCAAACCTGCAGCACTTCAGGGCCCTTCTGGATGCAGAGCTTCTTTCCAGCCTCAGAGGCTGCAATGCAGCAGTTCCTATTACAGCAGTAGCATTGCTGGAGCAGCTGCCAGCAGCCCTAAGCGCAGGAGGTGCACTGAGGGATTCTCCCATCCAGGGCTGCACCCTAAGCCTGCAGGGACCCATGGTCCAGGGAAGAAGCCCCTCACTCTGAGCTCTCCATATGATGGCTCTGCTCCAGCCCTCCACTTTCCCTTTTGGCATACTGGAGCCCAGTGTCCTACATGTCCCAGCATTCAAAATTGCCACCTGCAAACCACCTGTGTTCTTAGTACTACTGCTGGGGCTCTCATCTGCAAGTTATCTGAACAGGCTCCTTCTGAAATACTTCTTCATTGTCAGTGTTTTATAATACCTTTTCCTGGTGGCCTAATAATTTAGAAATTAATGCATTGTCCTCCTGTGATTCAAGTACATTATTCTGCTCTCATCCAAAAACAGATCAGAAATACTTGCTAAATGCTTCTACTTATTTTCATCTTCATTAACAATTGCACCATTTCCATTTCAAAGAGGCCTTACACAATTTTCTGTTTCAAGCAGATTGTTTAAATTCTTTAATGTTCTAGAAGATAGCAGCCGAGGATAATTTTACATTTCCCTTTTTATTTCCAGTTTTCTGCTCTCCATTTCTAATTTATATTAACTGCTACCCATTCTCCTCCCCCTCCACACTGCTTTTGCTTTTTTGCTCCTAATGCTGTCTTCACCAATGAGCAGTGATCATCCCTTTCCTGAGGGCACAGTCACAGTTCTTTTCCAAACAATGCTCTGTTCTTGAAGAATGCCTGATTCTAGCATTCACATAAAATACTCACCAAACTCCAGACAAAAAGTCCTTTCGCTTTGGATAAATTATGTTACATTACTAGTCTGAAAAACCTTTTTGTTTAGATTTTCTTTAATGAAGGTGGCCATCTTGCAGATACCATCAGCTTCCAAACCAGCTCTGAAATCCTTCACTCCCAATGGAGAAGAGTCAGACGAACAACAATGCATAATGAACAGCTCTTTAGCTTCTAGAATCAGGCCTAGATAGGCCACCCTATAAGGAACTGCTGTTTTCAGCATTCCATTAAGTGCTTGGTCAAATTGCTCCCTCTTGGCACCTGAATAAACTTCCCTGAACAAAACCAAAACCAGGCTGAGCCCCAACCACTAGGGATTCCTGCACCCAGCAGAAGTCAGACCTGGGCCCAGCAAACTGGGGCTGTCACAGCTCTCACCATGGGAACACTTCTGGCCCCATCCCAAATGCATTCTGCCTACACCTTTTGCTCCAGGCCTGCTCCTTTCAGAGGTATTCTCAGAAAGCCAGGTCTTCTTGTGTCACAGCAGGAAGTGATTTGTCATGGTTATTCCCTGAAGAACTTCATTTTCTGGTAATGGAGAACAGTAGGAACAAGCAGAGAGAAACTGAGTTTGGAGTCTCACTGGGCAGATTACTGGTTTGATGTTTAAGCCTAGGTATTCAGAATTAACCATAAAAATCAATTTAACTCAGAAGTTGCCCTCTCAATTTGCCAAACAGGAGAAATGCTATGATCCAGGCAGCTCCTCACCCACATCTGACAGTACTCAGGACTTCAAAGTGAAAAACAAAGAAAAATTCACTATGCATAATCAAAGAAGAGATTCTTCTGAAGGCTTACCTCAAGCTGGGACATTGACTTTTCTGTTTTCCCCAGTCTTCTCTCTCCTATCTTGCCATTTTCACACAAGAATTCCCAAAGACAAGTCCTAAAGAATACACCAAAGATCACAGAATATGCCTAGGGCTCCTTGATGTCCTTCTGGCTTCTTTGGCTTCCAAACGGCAGGCCACGCTCCCAGGCAATCTAGCCAATAATATGGAATCATACAACTGTTTTTAACTGAATCAGTAACTATTTTCAAGTGGCTTTTGGGGAATTTTTTCATATGTTTTTTTTTTTTTTTCCTTTTAAACTAATGATGTAAGTGGAGAAATGAGGCCATGTTTGGTGACACTGTAGTCTGACTCTAAACTATCAAAACCACAATGGCCAGAGGTGGGACTTTCCCTCGATGTTTTAATTCACCACAGTTAAGTACGGCAGAAGATACAGCATCCAGTTCCCTCTGCAAGTAATTGTGTACTGCAGAAGCTGTATTCATTCACTCACATACAGAGCACGCCCCACAGCACACATACCCTTTATCTATTAGGTTTCAGTTCAGATCTTCATGCTCTTTTGGGTTGCCATTTACCTCCCATTTACTAGAACATTGCTGTTCTCCGGTTCGGTTGCCTTCACTAACAAAGGTAACCTTACAAAGACAAAAAAGAAAATTGGGAAGAATATTCCACTACTCTATCTTTGGAAGTAGGACTGCTGAGCACTGCGCACCGTGAGCAGCTTCAGGAAGAGTAGATAAGGATTACTTTATCACAAAAACACCCAAGATGCTCATCCTATGGTACTGTGAAGCTGCAAGTGTTTTTCTGAGGAGCCTGCGTTGCAGCAAACAGTCCTTCACTTGAGTACTGTCCTCAAGTCTGGTCACCTGTGCACAGCAGCTGTCAAGAGACCACACTTCTGTTGTAGATCATCTGGAAAGATCTGGTCTTGCTCTGGCACAAGGGAATGGGACTTTCCTGTTTCAAATGTAATTGCTTTATTGTATTTTCTGAAAATATTTAAATGCCCTCACTGAAATTGTCTTTAGCTTGGTTAAACACAAGCAGGCTATAAGAGCTGTTACATCTACA